TTTTTTCTTCTAACATTAAAATATTTTTACATTCTACGGTTATTACATGGTTTACAATCTACAGTGCCCGTCACTAAAACCTAAAAATTAATTCTTAATTGCTCCCCAAAGACTGCTTTAAAGCCTTTTGAAGAAATTTTCATTAATTCCCATTGTTTCATTGCTAATTCGTTCGGAAAGCAGCAAGTAACTTGGTAAAGATAATTTTGCAAAACGATAAACACGGAGTAGTGCTGACTTACATTTTGACTTGCCATTCGTGCCTCCCACTTTTGTCTTACAAGCGCAACACGGTGCGGTGTAAGCGGCTCCAATTTTTGTACCTTAACAATAAAAGTACTGTAAATTCACGTAAAATAATGCAAAAATAGCAAAAAAGGTGTTTTATCAAGCGAAATGTAAAAAATATCAAAAAAAAATTATCACTAAATAATGAATTTGCAATCATTTTTTTAACAATTTGAGACCAAGATGGAAACATTGAATGCAATAATATTAATATAAGTTATTTCTCTTTAAGTACTGGCCTTTTACTTGTTCATTTGGCTGCAGTTCTCTCATAATCCTCTCTAATTTGACAGATCTTAATGATGCATTTGATATAAAATATGTAATAACTTAAAAAAAAGGGTTTTCACAGGATTATCTGTCTACAGCGATTGGCGAGGGCTTATCAAAATTTGGTGACTAAAATGAGGCAATAACTCCAATATCGGCATAATTATTCTTTGTACTTCAAACTCACTGGATTAACTCATCGCTAAAAGGAGATAAATGGTCAGCGCACCGACTGCCGGTGCGAGGATGCGCATTTGCATAGTTACCTGCGGTTTTTTTCGCCAACGAGACCGTTTTTCCGGCAGATTTTCTAGCTAGGAGAATTGAGGCTGGCCACCAGGGTTGTCTGAAAGCATCCTCTTAAAGTTTCAGCTAGTTTTTCTGGTTCCCGAGTTAACAGTTTACTAGCCAAAAAAAATTTGAGAGGCCCGTACATGCATGTAGATTAAATCCCAAAGTTTCAGCCTGCAGCCTTTATAGTAGGTCTCGAGATGAAAAATCGATACAGACGAACACATACACAGACAACCTCTCGACAATATGCCTTTTTGCATTGCATAGATGCAAAAATGCATAAAAAACAATTCCCATAATTATCAGCAGACTGATCACCTGGCAGTATTTTTCAAAGCAGCTGGATGGTTATGAGTTGCGCAGATTCATTTATAAATGACCATTAACTGATCCTTGTTTTACACGGTGAATTTATTGACAGATAATTTCTGCGATGAAAGATCTATCAGTTAACGGTGAACTGGCATTTCCACATATCTTACGAGGCAAGTTGAGAAGAATGTTTTCAGATTAAAACATAAAGCAATACCTTTTCGCCACTACTGTTGCTGCTTGTAGTATCTTCATCACCATCCCGTCTTGTTGAAAAAGCGTGAATGTTTTCGATGCTTTTGAAAGTTTTTTTTGATAGGACTGGTTGTTCGCAGATTTCACGCACCTGAAGTATCAAATATTAAAAAAAGGCAGTCAGAAAGAAGTTGTTTTTGCTTATTTTCTCATGAATCCCTTCAGC